TTGTCTGCTCAACAAATGATGCTGGGACTATACATCCACATGCAAAATAATGATATCGGATCCTTACTTCACACCACATACAAAATTAACTCAAAAGAGATCAAGACCTAAACAAAAGAACTAAAACAATAAAATTCTTAGAAGAAAATATAGGGGTAAATCTTCATGACTATGGATTTGGCAATTATTTTTAGATATGACACCAAAGGTACAAGTAATAAAAGAAAATTAGATAAACTGAACTTTATCGAAATTAAAAACCTTTGTGCATCAAAGGACACCATCAAGAAAATGAAAAGATAACAAAGAATGGGAGAAAATATTTGCAAATCATATATCTGATAAGGATCTAGTATACAGAATAAAGAACTCTAATCACTCGACAACAAAAAGACAACCCAAGTAAAAATTGGGCAAAAGACTTGAACAGACTTTTCTCCAAAGATATACAAATGACCAACAAGCACATAGAGATGCTCAACATCATCATTAGAAAACTGTAAGTCAAAACCACAATATGGTACCACTTCACAAACACTAAGATGTCTACAACTTTAAAAATATCAAACATAAAAATAACTAGTATTAGAAAGGATGTGGAGAAATTGAAACCCTTGTACAGTGCTGGTGGGACTGTAAAATGGTCCAGCTGCTGTGGAAAAGTCTGGTGGTTCCTCAAAAAGTTAAACATAGAATTACTGTATGACCCAACAATTCTGTTCTTGAGTATATATCCAAAAGAATTGAAAACAGATGTTCAAACAAAATTTGTACATGAATGTTCATTCACATCAGCACTATTCACAATAGCCAAAAGGTGGAAACAACTCAAATATCCATCAACTGATGAATGGGTAACAAAATGTGGCATCCGTACAATGCAGTATTATTTAAACATATAAAGGAATGAAGTACTAAAGCGTGTTACAACATGGATGAATCTTGAAAACATTATGCTAGGTGAAAGAAGCCAGACACAAAGTTTATATATCCTATGATTCCAGTTATATGAAATATTCAGAATAGGCAAACCTATGGTGACAGAAAGCAGATAAGTTGTTACTAAGGGCTGAGTGAATGGGAATGGGGAGTGATTGCTTAATGAGTATAAAGTTTCCTTCTGGGGTAATGAAAATATTTCAGAACTAGATAGCAGTGACAATTGTACAACATTGTGAATGTACTAAATGCCACTAAATTTAGGTTATTAAATGATTTAAATGGTAAATTTTATGTTTTGTGTATTTTGCCACTACACACACTTATATCTCCCCCAAAATGAATGGGGTCAAAAGGGAGAGACTATAGCATATAATGGCTACATAATCAGATCATATAGATACAATTTTTTAAATTGCGGAGAATGGAGAGAACCTCTGCAAAAAATTGTTTTAACTGTCTTCAAAATCGAATAATTGTCATCCTTAGATTTTTGTATATAGATTGTGGGAACAAGTAACTGGTTAAGTGGGAACAAGTAAATGGTTAACTGAGCATATTCTAATTCTATCATCCCCTCTGTGTTTGAAAACTAGAATTCTAGAAGGATTCAATCCAATAACTATGAGTATCCCCAGCACTCAGACTAAATACTAACTTAATCACTTCTCAGCATTTTGGCTAAGATCAAGTGAAATACTAATTTGAATAGAAAAAACAAACAAAAAAACTCACACATACACACAAAAACAAAACCCAAAGGCTTCTTCAAGAAATGGCTGGTTCCAGGACTGGGATAGGAAATGTACAGAATGAGGCTGGAACATCTTGTCATCTCGATAGCAAGGTAGCTATTAAAGACTATTAGGGTTATGTCCAAAGGACGTAGGAGCTAAGTTGAAGAGGCTCCCACTGGCCAAAGATGGGACAATTTGAGCTCTAATTATGTTAATAATTGCAATGGATTAAAAAACATCCAATATATTTAAATATGAGTTTATAATAAGAATTTATAGAATTAGAATATCACCATTTTGCAACCCCCAGTGAATAAATGGGTCTAGGCATTGAGTGTCAACAGCTGCTAACAATAGTCGATAAACTGTACATTTCTTTTGTGTGGTTTCCTAGATCTGTTTTATTTTTAAAAATGAAGGATAGAAAGGTAGGACATAAGAGTTACAGAAGAAGAAAGAGAATGGGATAGAGGCAATTTTTAAATCTGTACTGGCTGAGAATTTTCCAGAACTGATAAAAAGATCCTAAAAAGATCCATCTACAGATATTTTTGTTGAGGATATGTAAATATGATACATAAATAGCATTTATATTATGTAATTAAATAAAATAAAAATAATATTTATATATAAGCATAAATAAATACGAGGCATATAAAAGAAAATGAACTGAAAAAACACATAATAAACTGATAACAAGGGTGAGGATGAGAGAAAGCAGAATTGGGGGGAGGTCATCAAACAGACTTTATCTGACCCACCCTCTTTCACCCTTTTTTCAAGGAGAATATATTTATATATAAAATTTTAAAGTTATTTAAAAAACATTCTTGTTAAGAAAAGTGCTGTCAACAGAAGCATCACATCCACAAAGGCAGATGAATGCAAACAGACAAAAGGCTAAATACAAGTTCTCTAGGACAAACATTCCTAGCAGTAGTAAGAAATTTTCAGGGGAAAAAAGTAAAATACAATTCTTTCTCCACCAGTTGTCTTATCCACAAGTACTCAGAACAGCTTTAGAGAATGAAAAAAATCCCCATGGATTCATATGCAGAAAATGAAACTTCTTCGACATTTAAAAAAGCGCTAAACGACACAAATGCCCTCCACAGCAGGCTCTCTGAAATACACATATTCCTACTGCAAGACCTTTGCTCTTGCTGTCCTCCCCAGTGGTCATGTACGTCTTACCCCCTCACTTCCTGAAGGTCTCTGTTCAAATGCCACGTCCTCAGAGAGGCCCCCTCTGACAACTCTCCTCTCTAAAATAGCAAGCACCCTTGATCCCCTCTACCCCTTCTCTGCTTTTTTCAGAGAGGTACTGCTACTTGGTGTGTTAAATATTGATCACATTTATGGGTTTACTTTCCCACCCAAATGTGAGCTCCACGAGGGCAGGACTTTTGTCAGTTTCCTTGCCAGTTGTATCCATAGCACCTAGAACAGCACCTGGCACATAGCTGGAGTCCATGAGTATCTTTTGAACGAATGGCTTAATGGGTTCCCCAAACTCTGCAGGAACTTTCCTCAGATGGGGGCTGAGCAAGGGCAGGGGAGGGAGAGGGGCTCACCTCTACGTTCCAGACGTAGGAGCTGTGGAAGAGCTCTGACCACATCTTGCCTACTTTGTTGATGTCTTTGACATCCCAGATATAGACGCTGTGGTCCCTATACACACAGGACAGCCACTGGTGGATGGGGTCGAAGGTCAGCGCCACTGTATCGGGGTAGACTGCTTCTGTCTTCCTGCAGAAGAGGAAGCTAACAAGGCAACACAGGTCACACCAATCACCATTAATGTCACTCACAGCCACCTGTGGTGACACTCAAGCTGTCTCTTGCCTGGCAGTACCATGATGGTCCACCTCTCCTACTCTAAGTCCACTTTTCCTGGCTCCCTCTTCCTTTGCTTTGTTTCTGATACAGAGGTTAAAACGTGGAAGCTTTTGCTTGGCCCCTGAGAGCATGTGAATTTTCAACTCCTGTTAACATTTTTCTCCCCTCATTTCACCAATTCAAGCTTCATCCTCCCTCTCTGAGCTTGGAAGGATAGTGAGCACATACCTCAGGCTTTCTCTCTCGGGGCCCCACTGACAACATGATCAAAAGTCTCTATATAAGGGTGTAAGGGAGCCATCTCCTGGCCTGGAGCCCTTCTACAAAGGCTACAGTTTACTGATCACCTACTCTGCGCTGAGCCAAGAGCTTTAGCTGTACTGAATCCCCACAATCTCCATGAGAGGAAGGCGGTATATTTTACAGATGAAGAAACTGAAGCACAGGTTGCTAGTTACCTGCCTGAGGCCACACGGCTAGGCAGCCCAGCTACTACAACACACCATTGTCTGTGGGTTGCTGACCCACCCTCTTTCCTTTGAGATACCCAATAGCACTCTCCAGGCTCTTAGAAAAGGCACCCAGGAAGTAGTGCCCAGGCATCCAGCATCCCCTAATTAGGTAGCTATCCTCCCTGACCAAACTGACTCACAACAAAGGGAAAATATATCACAGCTCAGCCCTCTCACCCACTCTTGACACGGCAACCAGAGGGATCTAATGCTCAAAGCCAATGCCTAAAATCCTGGTGGTCTATGGCCATGCCACTCTGAACATGCCCAATCTCGTCTGATCTTGGAAGCTAAGCAAGGTTGAGCCTGGTTAGTACTTGGATGGGAGATCAGGTGCTGTAGGCATAATGGTTTGATAGAAATATATCTTGCAGTCATTGTGTTGGGTTAAGCCATAGAACTTGCTAAAGTGATAGATATCCACTTTTCTGGCATGTAAACTTTATTTCCCCTCAAAATAAAAGTAAAAATAAAATAAAATAAAATAAAATAAAATAAAATAAAATCCCCAGTGGTTGCCCATGGACCTCAGAACAGACTATAAGCTCCCTCCACTAGCCTCTATCAATTCCCAGACCTGTCTTCTACCATTTTCCCCTGGCACAGCGGGCTCCGGCCACACAGCGGGCTCTGGCCACACAGCCCCTAGCTGTTCCTGCAACATGCCAAGCCCGGTGTGCTATCTCCTTAAGCCCTTCCACTTGCTGTCAGGACCCACCTCTCCACATAGCTGGCTCCTTCTCACCAGAGAGGCTTCCCCTGGCCACTCAATCAATGCAGCCCCAACCCCCAGACACTCTCCTTCTGGAGTCTCTGCTCTATTTCACTAAACCATTTATGACTATCTAAAATGATCTTATTTGTGTACTCGTTTATCATTGAGCTCCCTCACTAGACTGAAGACTAGTGGTGGCAGAGATTTTGCTGCCTCATAGCTGTATCCTTCCTGCCTAGGGCTGGCCAGTATGTAGGTAGATCTGGAAGCATGGATAGGTACCAGCAGGCAGACTCTGGGTGGGCCCTCCCCCTCCCCCTCCCCCTCCAAAAAAAAACCCCTGCCACATAGTACCTGGGCTCCAAGCCCTGGGCCACATCCACACCAAGGTAGTGTGGCCTGGGCAGGTTGGCAAGGTAATGCAGGTTGTGGGCCTGGAAGATGCGAACTATCCCATCTGTGCAGCCACAGAAGATGAGCTCCTGGCTGACACAGAGGCAAGAAGACAGGGAGACCTGTGGAGGCAAAGGTGACCCAAGTGGTCTTTGTGCTTCCTATGGGTCAGTTCAGGGACATGGGGACTGACTGGAAAGCCTTGGGCCTTCCGAGAAGCCTATAGTTTCTTGGGCCTAAGAAGCCTAACTTAGCAAATTTTAAGATTTTTAGAATCAGGATAGACAGGTACAAATCTGGATAGAGCTATCACTGCTACCTACAGAGGAACTCAGCTATGGGTGAAAAATATCTGTTCAGCAGACTGTGACTTCGGATGGGTCACTTTCGTAACAGGGTTGAAGTTTAGGCTTAAATTGTATTCCCTGTTACTTAAAAACAACTTCACAGAGATTATACTGAAAGCAACATAGAAAAAAGCTACTATATACAAGAAGGCCTGTCTATCCCACCAGGACATTCAGATAGAAGGGGCAGGAAGTGCCAGAACTCTGGACCCAAATTAAGAATTTTTTCAAATCCACAGGGACTTAATTTATGAGTCACTGAAGACAACTGGTCAGGGGCTACACATCTATCAGTCAAAAGCTTCTGAATTGATTAAAAGCTGCATGAGTTCTAGCAAGAGGATTCAAAGGAGAAAAAAAAAAAGATGTTTAACCAACTAGGAAAGGCAGATAAAACTTGGAATTCTTCCATACACCTGACACCATACCATTAGCCCTAAAGGTGAGTCCTGGAGGGGAGTCACAGTGCAGGAATAGAAAAAGTAGGGGAAACTGAGATGCTCATGCTGACAGCCAAACAGGCAACCAAATCTGGAAATGGGAAGACATTATGGACTCAAACTCTCAGATCCTGAAGAAAGTGGTTCTGCAATTTATTCATATATCATCCTTTAGTTTAAAATGCAGTTTTTGTTACAGGCTTTTTTGACTGAAAATTATTGAGTCAATGATACCTTAAATTCAAAAAAAAAAAAAAAAATGCAGTACTCCTACTAGCTAAGAGTGCTCAATAAAGAAGAGAAATGTGAACTGAATCAAACAGTGATGGGAAAGCAATTGTAACCTTGACCCCCATTACAGGGTACCAGGCACTGTTCCAAATGCCTTACCTATATTACCTCATGTGACTCTCTTTGTTGACTCTGTGAAGTATTTTCATTTTACAGATGAGGAAACTGAGGCTCAGAGAGGAAAAGTCACTCACCAGAGTCACACAAGCAGAACTGGAAGTCAAACTCAGAGCTTGACTTGAGCAACTGGTCAACTACCAGGCAGGGACACTGCTGAGTTTCCCTGGAGACCATGTCAAGGAAAGAACGTTTCCCTCATCGATAGCTCAGAGGGAAGATGGGGTACCTTCAGGTTGATCCACTTCTCCAGCACCCTCTTCTCGTTGAACTGGCAGAGGAGGCCCGAGTAGGACACACAGAAGGTATTGCCTGCAATCTGGCCCCGGCCACAAGCCACGCCACAGAAGACATTGTTGTGCAGCTCACCCAGGATGCCTGAGCGCCCTATGAGGGGCACCGTGCCTGTCACCTGGAGGCACAGCAGGGCACAGTGAGACAATGTCTACATGGCCTAGACCCCAACAAGGTCATGATGGGCCTCTCATGACCAGAGGATACAAAAGAACTAAATAGAAGGACTCTAAGAAATTCTTCCAAGTGGAGGAGAAGGGAAGAAAAAAACAGAACACACACTTCCAGGCAGACTGGCTGGAAGATGGCAAACCAGGGATGAGGTCTGGCCCCAGGGTTGGGGGAGAAGGTGAGCACAGGGGTGTTTCCCAGCAGGGCCTGCCAGCCAGCACCTGGAGAGCAGGCCAGAAGCAGAAGCCAGACTCCTGAGAGGCTAAACAGCTCCTGAGACCACTGCCTCCAAACCTCAGAGAAACAGGTGTCCATACTGCCCATGATGGTTACTCCCCAGGCCTAGCTGAGGGGGCGGGGACAAAAACTCACCTTTGTTTCAGTAGAGACTTCCAAGAACCAGAACCTCACGTGCCGGTTTCCAACTGTGACAAAATAGCTGCTGTCCTCTGAGAAAGAGAGGGCGATGACTCTGCATGATACCTTGTTGGAGGCCACCACAACATCTTTCTGGAAAAATCAGTGCAGAGAAATTCATACTAGCACTCACCCCACTGGACTATTGCCCTTAGCCTTTGCCTTCAGCCCTGTGTCCTCCTGCTCTCCCCAGTTCCAAGTCTGTTTTCCTTGCGCCCTCCAGTGAGCTGCTTTATGGGAAAACCTAGGTGTGGCACTCTTATCATTCCCACTACAGAGGAGACTGAGGCTTGGAAAGGTTCCCATGTGACTAAGTTGGAGAGTAAGCTCTCCAAGGGTCCAAGCTCTAAAGCTCACACGTGATTGAGGACAGGCATAGCTGGGAGGTGAGGATGCCACTACCATGGCTGCCATAGATAGTGCTCTCACTCTGAGCCCTGCTGAGCTCTTCATAGGATAACTCGTGGAATTCCCTCGATATCTCTATAAGGAAGGTGCTTCTCCCCATACTCTGCCATGCTCAGAGGGAGGATGTCATGTGCTCAAGGTCACGTAGTGGGTAATGAACAGAGCCAAGACTTGGTACCCACTTCTGCTGACTCCATGTCCTCCCCTAGCTGTTCCAGTCTTCTATATCAACTCACTGAATTCTTGCAACTCAACCAGGTAGATACTATTACATCCATTTTACAGATGAGGAATAAGACCCACAGAGAGGTTAAGTCACTTGATCAAGGTCATAGCTGGTCAGTATAAAAATAATCATATATCTCACTAGTTGAGAACTTGTCATATGCCCTACGATAAGTGCCTAGAACAGGGATCAGTATGGAGTAGGTGCTCAATAAACATTTGCTGGATGAATAAGCGCTTTACCAATTCATCTCATTTAGTTCATCAGGCATCCCCTGATGCCTGAGACTCAGGGCACTCCAGCAGCTGGCTGCCTGCCCACACACCCAACAGTTGGCTCACCTTCCAGTCCCAGACATTGAGTACCATGTCGTGCTGGTAGCCCATGGAAACGATGTGCTTCATATTGGGGGAAAAGGCCACACAGGCCACGCCGTACTTGTGGCCCAACATCTCCGCCACCTGACTTTTCTCATCCACGTCCCAGATGCGTACAGCAGGCCTGTGTCCATTCTGGGGAAGGTGGGGCCATTACTGCTGCTGAGTTCTGCACGAGGCAGGGCTAGAGGGGCTGGTAGGGCTGAAGTTGGCATTACCCCTGGGTGTGCCCGAAAGCCACCTCCCCCATCTGCCATGAGGCTTTTCTGGCCCAGGAAGGAGCTATTCCAGGGACTCCCCAGGCCTGATGGGGACAGAAGGAACGGCCTCAATACCCCTCCCTCTCCTCACACTCAATCATGATCATGACTCACCTCCCCCGTCACTATGTACTTCCCATCAGGGGAGAAGGCCAGAGCGCTCAGAGACTTCCTGGGGGCAAGGAAAAGGGATGACCACTGGTTCCAGAGGGTGGGCAGCCAGACCCCAGCCTGGCTGTGCTCACAGCACTCTGCTCACTCCTCGCTCCAAAGCCTGGAAAAGGCCAGGAGAGGTGAGTGCCAGCAGCTCCCACAGAGCCAGTGCTGCCTGTGTGCCCAGCATAGCACGCAGTGTTCATGCATTCCCTGCTACCAGAAGGGGGCAGCGGCACAGGTTCTGTAAAACGAAGGCCCCTTCCTCTTAAAACCCTAAACCCAGATGGGTGGACACTGAATGGGGATCCATCCTTTCCTCTCCTTCTACACAGTGGGCTCCCTAAGACCCACCAGCCCTGTAACCTTGACAAATTCAGATGCAGGAAACGGTACAGATCCGGCCTAACAACGGAGGTGGTGCTGAAGGGAGGATGCTGGCAGACATCACAGAGACAACTGCAGCATGTGCTCCACTGCTAACAGCTCAAGGTGTTCTGGAAAACCCATAAACAATCAACGTGTTTCTCTCTGACACTCCCAGCTAGCCCGCATGAGGACTGAATGACCAGACTAGTTTGTATGTTATTTGGCAGGGAGTTTCACTGTTCCTAGCCCATGGTGTTTTTGTCTCTCTCCTCTTTCTTTCAATCCTGTTTTTACCCCTCTTCCTTAATAGTCTAGTAACTGTCTCTCTCACATGAGTTAATGGTGTGCAGATAACTAAGTAAATGCCTCTGAGTAAATCGTTGACAATCTCATAGAACCTTTATCATCATCAACTCAACCCTCTGGTGGCTTCCCATCGCTCCTACAGAAGCGGACAGGGCAAGCTGCCTACCTGATGTTCACTCACCCCTCCTCCCTCATTGAAGGAACCCCGATTTTAATTGGGATGGCAATGTCCCTGCCTAGAGTACATTCCTCACCTCTCTTGTAACTACATAGGTACAGCTACATGACTTAGTCTAGCCAGTGAAAGGTGCTGTGTGTGATTTCTAGAAAAGCTTCTCAAAGAGAACCCTTTGCCCGCCACTCGTTCCCCTTCTGAAAAACATGTCAGCCAGAACTCCACCTGGGGTCATGCAGCGACTTCAAGAACAGAAGGCTCACAATAAGCATGGTGGAACAGAAAGATAGGAGTGGGGGTCCCTGATGCTTGCAGAGACACCGGCCCCCTGGGTACCCACCTCCAGACTTCCTACATGCAGAAGAGCATGCCCTTGTGTTTAAATCACATTTACTATGGGGTTTCTGTTGTCTGTAGCTACTTCCAACTGACTGTCACATTGCCCTGACCTTGTGCCCAGCCCTCTGCCAAATGCCGTATGGGCATCGCTACACTGATTCCTCACACTCGCTCCATGAAGTCAGGATTCTCATTAGCTGGTTTTGGGGATGAGGAGACATAAACACAGGGAAATTCCCTGCCCAAGGTTACCTAACCAGACAGTGCAGAGCCTTGGCCTTGAGGTCAGAGGTTCCCAATCCTGCATGTCAGAATTCCCTGGGGAGTTTTTACAAACTGCCAAAGCCACGCTAAGACTAGTGAGTAAAAGTCTGGTGAAGAACAGGACAATATCTGCAGAGTTTCAGAGAAAGTTCCCTTCAGAGAAAGTTCCCTCACTAATCACAAAGGGGAAAAGAGAGGCTTCACAGCGGGGAAGCTTGACAGACGCCACCTCAATCAAGGGTTCAAAGTGAACACCACCAGTCATGGGAGAGATCAACATCATGAACTTCCTGATAGAATGTACTGAGAAGAACACAGCATTCCTTCTGAGGTGTTCCTGACAAAGACGCAGACCTTGAATCTATCTATGAGGAAACATCAGACAAACCCAAATGTTGACACATTCTGCAAAATGCCTGGCCTGTAATCCTAAAAGTGTCAAGATCACAAAAGTCAAGAATAGATGGAGGAATGGTTTCAGACTGAAGGAGAGTGGAGACAATAATACACAACGCATGATTCTGGACAGAATCCTTTCCTATAAAAGACATTCTTAGGACAAATGGTGAAACTTGAATGAGAAGTAAATAATAGTGATGTACCAATTTTAATTTCCTGATATTGCTGAATGTATTGCAGTTCTGAAAGACCATGTAATTTTTTTTTTTCAGGAAATACATGCCAAAGTGTTTAGAAAAACAGGGGCATCTTATCTGCAGCTTACTCTCAAATGGTTCAGAAAAAAATGATTATGTATGTAGACAGAGAATGATAAAGCAAAAGTAGTAAGATGTTAACATTTGGAGAATATGGGTGAAAAGTATACATGTACTCTTTGTACTATTCTTCTAAGTCTGAAATTATTTAAATATAAAAAGTTTAAAAAGTTGCCAACGATTAGGTCGTACTCCAGGCCAATGACTAGGCCTTCTCTGGGAATGAGGCCCAGGGATCAGGTGACTCTGAGAATGCAGCCAGGGTAAAAACCTTGACTCTGGCCACACCACTCCTAAAACAGCTCTATCGGTGGTTGAGAGAGGACCCTTTCCATGCCATCTGAGTCAGATCAAGGTTACCTACTCCACTGTCTACAGTAATCAGGAAGGCAGCAGGGAGGACGCGAGCTCAGACAAAGGTCATGAAGCTCCAATCCATAGCTGCCACATGGGAATGTGGGCCCCGGGGGCCAGAATCTCTAATTTTCCAAAAATGAAAGAGACATATGGATTTTTATGAAAAAAAAACTTTAAATATCGTCGACTAAGTCCAATCTTTAAAATGCACTGTGTAAACAAATCTGTGGCCCTTTGCAATTGTTGCCTTACGAACACATTAACAATAGGAGGTAGCTATTATATTTCAGTGGAAGTCAAGGTTCAAAAAGAAGTGTCTCACCTGATATCACATAGTGAATAACCTCTTGATTCAGGACTGGAACCCAGTTCTGCCCTCACTACCAGTGACAGAACTCACGGTCAGGAGCCAATGACCCAAGAAGCCCCTTCCAAGAGGAAATTTGTATCTGCTATACCAATAGAGACCTGCCATATCTTACGGACTGTAAGGGAATGAGAAAACCCACATCTTATCTATCCACCTAGAGAACCAGGCCACAGGAGTTATGCCAGACATGCAGTCCCTCACAAAGATCACAACCCAATTGGGACCAAAGTCGCAGGATCACACAGTGATCAATCAGTCCCAACTTGGATCTACTCAAGGCCAAAGGCCTTCTCAATAAAAGGGCAGCTGGAGGGGTCTTTCTGAATCATATTCACTCATGAAATAATAAGTGCCATCAATGTGCTAGATACTGCTCTAAGTGAAAGAGACATAGCAATTGACTAAAAGAAAATCCCTCAGAGATCTCACACTGTGGAAGGGAGACAGACAGTGAATATCATAGTGAGGAAATTAAATATTGTATGAGAAAGGAGTATATTTGGTAGAGAAAAGTAAAACAAGGAAGGGAGATAGAGCTTGCTGGAAGGCTGGGGTGTGGAAAGCATATCCTTGGCCTATAAATCCCCTAGTGGCTTCTCTTTGCAATCAGAATCCAACTCTGTCCCTAAGGCCCATCTGATGAGGCTTCTGTCTCTTCTAGACTCATCTCCCCCTTAGCCACTCCTCCATTCCAGGCACATGAGTCCCTTGCTGCTCCTCAAGCAATCTGAGATTTTTAACCATTGCCAGGCCTTTGCCCTTGATGTTCCCTCTGTCTGAAGCACTCTCCCCTCACTTTCACGAGTCACCCCCTCACTTTTTTCAAGTCTCAACATCAGGGAGGCCTCCCCAGAGCCCTCTGATATGGCTCTTCCCCGACTCTCTGCCTGCAAATCTGCCCTAACACATCCCCCATCATTTCCTTCATAGCAATGGTCACAGTGGGCTTACCAACCAATTAATTCAGTCTGTCTCCTTCACTGAGCTGTCAGCTCTATAAAGAGCAGGGATTCTCATCTCTTTTGTTCACTGCTATGTCCCCAGCACCAGGGACAGTACCTAACACAGAGCAGACACTTCGTAAATGTTGCTGAGCTGATGGGTGAGTGAATGAGTGAGTCACCCACCCAGGAGCACTTCCATGCAGTGTGGGGAAGGGGAGATGTCCCAGGACCCTGGTCCCAGCCCTACCCCTTACCCAGGCCCCAGCCTACCTGGCAGTGTTAAAAATGTGCTGTTGCTTGTTTTCCTTGGGATCCAAGATCACGACCACACAGCTGGGGAGAGAGAAGAAAATGTGCCCAAACTAAGGGGAGGACTGAGGTTCAGGGATGATTCTGTTCCCAACAGAAGATAGCCTGCACATAGACAAGGTTCCCTCAGGGCAGAAGATTCTCTCTCTGGTCACCTCTTCCTCCAGGTGTTTATGCTGAGGATTCTAGGGCACTTCACATTATTATTAATACATTCTTAAATAGAAACCAACACCTCCTCTGCAACTACCCTGCCATGCTTGGGCTAATAAAGATTTTATGTGCACAACCTCTTTAAATCCTCACAACTGCCAAGTAAGGTCAGGAATCTTAGTCCCATTTTATAGATGAGGAAACTGAAGCCCAGAGAGGGAAAGTCCTTTGCCCAGGTCTACCCAGTATGGATATGAATCCAAAACTGTCAGATTCAAGAGCCTGCCCTTATACTCTAACCTGTACTGCTTTCCTCCCCAAGACTCACTAACAGATACTGTTCACCAGGAATGATCATGGGTATGCCCCACCCTGCCGGGGTAGGGTGAGGGGGGTCCCTTTGGTGCCTAGAATGTGTCAGGCTAGATCAGTATTTGTGGAATAAACAGTTGCAGAATGTCCTTCAGTCCTCTCAACTACTCAAGTGGAGGGTATCACTATTTTTGTTTTACAGACAGAAGCAGAGGCGCAGAGAGGGGCACACAGTAGGGAAGGGGAGATGTCCCAGGATATAAATCCAGGTAGTCTAATACTACAGCTTGGGTGTTAACCACCCATCTTTCCCATAATCGCTGCCACCTCCCAACCTGTAGTCACAATGAGGCTTTCTCAACGCTCACTACATGTACTGTTCTAGACACAGATGGGCCCATGGAATCCTTTCTACAGCCCTCAGAGGTAGGCGGTATTATTTGCATTCTACAGATGGAAAAGCTGAGGCCCACCCACTCACTCACCCTGCTAGGTAGGCCACATGGCCTGTGTTGGGGTCACAGGTTAAGCCGCTGCTGTTCTGGGCTGTGATGCCGAGCACCTTCTCCAGTGACACCTGCAGGGAAAAGGCTCAAGTCAAAAGCACCTGCCCCAGCATCCCCCATGTAGCATAGCCATCTCAGCTACCCATTCAGTTCCTATTATATTCAACACACTCACTGAGCTTCCATGGCCGTCTATCAGTAGCTAACACTTGTCTTCCTCAACATTCCTTTGACAAATACACAGTTCCAGGTAAAGGGCACAGAATGGTGAGGAAAACAGGAAAAAATCCCTGCCCTCCTAGAGCTCACATTCTGGTGGTGATGGGATGAAGGACATTCCAAGAAAATGAACAGAAAAAATATGCAAAATAGATATCAAGTGATGTTAGAAGCAATAAAGAAAAACAAAGCAGGGAAGGAAATTGAGAGCACAGGGGAAGGGGAGAAGGCCTCACTGAGAAGGTGACCTTTGAATAATTTCCAAGTATTTTATGTAGATTAAAGACTTGAAACCTCACAACGCAAGAAAGAAGGCACTATTATCAGCCCCATTTTACAGATGAGGACATTGAGGCCCAAGGTCCCACATCTGCAGAGTGGCAAGGTGCGGATACAAACCCAGGTAGTCTGGCTCCAAAGCCAGCACTTTGGGCCCTGAAGGAGAGACACAGCAGTGAGAAAAAGTGGACAATGTCCAGTCTCTCATCAAATGTATAGTCTAGAGGTTCAACAACTAAAGAAACAAGTGAATAATCACATTTAAAATTTAAAAACTCACTAAGCAGAGTGAGTTAAATAGCATTACCCATCATGGCTGAGCAAATTTAGAGTATGGACTCACAGAATTATGGTATTTTCATATTTCGAATAGACTAGTTTCTAATTATTATAAAGTAAAACATTCTCAAGCAAGTCCTTGGCCTCAGAAATAAAAAGCAAAAAAAGGACAATAATAGCTAACATTTATTGAGCATTTACTAGGAGCCAGGCACTGTTCGAATACCTATAACTATTAACTTATTTAATATCTTCAATAATCCTGTGCTTTGGTCATTATTGTCATCATCACTTCCGTCTTGCCGATGATGAGGAAACAGAGGCCCAGAGGCCTTGCCCAAACAAGAAAGAGCAGTGCCAGGACTCTAACCCAGGCAATGCCACTCATGTTTTTTTTTTATCTGTCAGCACTACTGAGCATTAGTATAATTGGTCATTTTAAGACTAGGTCTTTTGCAAGCCAGGTGGACTCTGCACCACCAAACAAGGAAAATAAATGATATCAATTACCTAAAATACACAATCATAACAGTAGTACCTAACACTAAGAGTATTTGCAATGTGCCAGGTGTTGTTCTGAGTGCTTAAGATAAGTGACCTCACTTAAGCCTCACACATACTCTATGAGAATATTTATACTATTTTCCTCATTTTACAGGTGAGGAAATTGAGACAGAAAAATTCCAAAGAGGAAGATTTTAAGGTTTAAGCCCAGGCAGTCTAGGTCCAGAGGCTGCGCTCTAACCCATATTGCTTACTGCCTCTCTGAAATGGCTATTGTTATTTCTCTATTTCAAGCGACTCCAACCCCCAGGCCGCACAGCAGGAGATGAGCGGCTGGAGGGAGAGTCAAGTTTCATCTGTATTTGCAGCTGCTCCCCAGTGCGGGCTAGCATCACTGCCTCAGCTCCACCTCAGATCATCAGGCATTAGATTCCCATAGGGGGCACCAGTCCCTGGTGCCAAAAAGGTTGGGGACCACTCCTCTATTTTATATATAGTTCAGAGCTCCCAAGGCACTTTCAGGAGAAACATAGAAGATAAGGGCTATGAAGTACAGAGATTAAGGTGGGTGTCTGCTTTAGGCTGGGGTTGAGAATTGAGGGATGAAGAGCCAGCCAGGTAGACTGCAGCGAACAGCCCAAACGGAAGACTCACCAAACACAATGGCTTGGAGGTGGGCAAGAGCTTGGCACCTCAGGAAAACAGAGAGCAAGACAGCGTGACTGAATCTTTTTGAGGGGATGGATGAGGGAGGTACGGCCAGAGAGGTGGGCAGGGGCCGCCTGACCAAGGTCTTTCAGCCAGGAGTGGGTGATATAATCAGAGTGCCGCAGGAAACCACAAGCAGGAACAAGATCCACCAGCAGCTACCAGTTATCCACCTTTTATTTGGACTCTGTGCTAAGCAGTCACACAATTTTATTTCTTCTTGCATCTCCATGGTACGGTTATTGTTATCTCTATATTATAAAAATAGACTTTGAGGCTCAAGGAGTTGGAGAACAATTTTTTAAATTGCTGCTGTGCTAATGGAATTTCCTCTGCCTACTCTAAAATCGCCCCCGTTGTTTCTGTGTCTTAGGACTTAGGGAACCGTTCTGTACGCCCTCCTCCCAAGCAGTGCTGCTGAGATTTTACAAATATTACATCCCTCCAAAATTTAGGGTGGCAATATGGAATAAGAATCCCATCTTGGTAAGGGAGAAGGAAAGATAAGGCAGGAAGTGAGGGAAGGCGGGGTAGAGCTTAGGAAAAGTTGGGACAAGTAGGACACAGGACGCTAAAGACCCAGCGGGGGAGAGGTCAACAACAGTGGGAGGGTCCAGAGTGACGTTTAAAGACTGAAGGAATAAACATGCAAGAAGGCGGGACTAGGAGATTAGAACTAAAAGGCCCTCCAAGGGCTGAGGGTGGAGCCAGAGGTTAAAAGGCGGGGCTAGGAATGACTGATGGCACCCGAAAGAGGACATGGGTAAAGGGCGGGGCTTAGGAACAGCGGGGAAGAGCTGCCTGAGGGAAAAAGCCGAGAGCTCATAGGCGGGGCCAAAGATCTACGGGCAGGACCAGGGGAGGGCAGGGCAAGAAGCTCCTCACCCGGTTCTGCACCGTATCCTCTGGCGCCGTGGGGAGTCGGGTCCGTCGCCGGAGGCAGAGCGCTGGAGCGGGGGGCGGGGAGGACTGGCCCCTCCGCGCTGGAACCCCCGCCATGACGGATGGCAGCTTCTCGACTGCATCGTTCCGCGCGTAGCCTCCGGGCCCCAAGGTCGCCATCGTCGAGCCGGAGCCGGGCGACCGTTACTCAACCACCGCCACGACCCACTTGAATAACGAACAGCCGCGGGAAAGCCGGCGCCACTGCCCATTGGATGTGGTAGCCGCCGGTCTGGCCAATCTCCGGGCTGCCCAGAGGCACTTTTGGCCAATGAGGGCTAAGAGGCGGAAAGGGGTGTCTGGCGGGGAGGAGCCACAGCTAGTCTACGGGTGGTCGATCGAGCATGGCTGCGTTTTCTATCCAGTCTGTGTTTTCATCATTCACTGAAATATAGTGGTTTTAACTTTTACGTGGCTAAGACCAAAGCCGCCTCGTCTCGCTTTCTGCTGCCGCCCCAGTGGCGGTCGAAAGAGACTGACGAGTTGGCTCAGGCTCCGAAACGCTGTGACTCAACCTAACCCCAAAATCGTGTAGCTAGAAGCGGTGTTCGCTTCTTCCCCGCTCACCGCGTGACCAGGGCGTAGCTGTGGTACCGCGGAAGGGCGGGTAATACGCAGGCGCTCTCTTCCCGCGGCACGTGAGATGAGGCACTGCTGGCCCTCTCGTGAGGCAGGCGGAGAGCGCGCGGGCCGGGCGAGGTTCGGCGGCTCCTAGCGACGTACGAAGTGCGGCTGAAGACCGGACAAAATTCAGCGTGGCTGGACAGCCATGCTCAAGCACTGCTGTGCTCCGAACTGTTCCAATACTGCCAGCCGGCTAGGTGCGGACAACCGCCCTGTGAGCTTCTACAAGTGAGCGCAAGCGCGGGGCGGGGCTTGCAGGGAGGCAGGGCCCTGTGGGGGGCGGGGCCAGAGGATAAATACAACTGTCTGGCACCTGGTCCAGCTTGCAGGTCTGTGTACAAGCAGGTTTAGCAGATTGAAGAGACGGTATCTCAGCATTTCACCAGCAAGCACGGCACATACAAAGGTGCAGATGTGTGAAACAGCGGAGCTAGCCAATTAACTACAGTTAGTGAACAGGGCGGGCAGAAGAAGGGGAGTGCTGTGGAGGGAAAAATAAGGTTGAGCCAGTATCTGTAAGAGCCTTCAGCTGTCTACGCGCCATTCCCACGAATTTGAGGCATCTCAAACTCAAAACATCTGAAACCGGGCTCCTGATCTTGTCTGCCTCAAAACTTGCACAACTTTTCCTGTCTCAGTTAATAGCTTATTCCATCCTTCCTGTTGTTCAGGCTAGAAATTTTAGAGTCATCTTTACCTCTTCTCTTTCCTCTCACTTGAGAAAGTAAAAATTAGCTTGAACTGTAAAAACAAAAACAAAAAAACTGCATCCCCATTTATTTGGCTGGAATAACAGACACGGAAAAAAGCCAGATAAAGAGTTAATAGGAAAAATATTTCTATATTTTTCTCAGGGACATGCTGCAGATGTAAAGTGACACAGCTCCCCTTCTTTTAGTGACCACTGCATTCTTACTAGGAAACTTTGTTCTCTAAAATCATAGATTATCACAAACTTTGCTCTTTGAAGTTATATCAGTAAGAATGAAACATCTCACTTATAACGCCTGGGGGAGTTAAGTCGCTTTGACACAGAGAAGCAGCCTCTATTTACAATCCAGGTGCAGAGCTTTGGGTAAGGCATTTCTGGACACAGTGTTCCACATCTATCTAAACTTTATTGCTTCCAAGGGGACAGGACCTTGGGCCCACTTCATAATCCAGACTTGATATTTATTCCCTTACACACAGTTCTACTTTGCTTTGACCCTATCCACTTTTATTTACATCTCATATAAATATCACCCTTCTCCTAAATAATATCTGTCTTTTCCTTTGTTTGGTGAGACACCTCACAGTACCTCTGGTATGCAGTCTCCCTCATTGCTGTGGTAAATAAACCTGACGTTGTCGGACTACAGGTTTGTTAGTCTAACGGGGCCAGGACACAAGAGCATATGCTGTTGGCTCTCCCTTCCCTTTAAAATCTAACTAGAATTGACCACTTCTAACTTCCTTCTCTGCCCCACCCTAGTCCTAGCCATCATCACCTGCCACCTGCACTATTTTAGTAGCCTCTTTGTTGGTCAACCTGCTTCCACAGTTTGTTCCCCACATGCAGTCACAGGGAACCAGTGAACACCTGAGTCAGATCAGGGCCCTCCTCTGCTCAGATCCCTCTCCTGGCTTCCATTTCACTCTATAAAAGACAAGAAGGTAAGGCTAAAGTAGGCAGTAAGCAGGCCTATAAAGCCCTACAGGAACTAGATCCCCAATACTGGCATGACCTCATCTCTCTCCTGCCCCTTACTCACTCTGCTGCAGTGTCATTGGCCTGCTTGATGCTCCTCTAGCACACCAGGAACATTGTTGCCCAGGGCCTTTGCTTGTGCTGTTCCCCCTTTCTGGAAAGTTCTTCCCTTTGTGATCACTACTCTATATAAAATGATAACCCTCTCCCAGATCCTATCTGTCTCCTGCTTTATTTTTCCCTTTAACGTCGCTAACTGGCATACCACATATTGTCTCCCGCACTAGACTGTCAGCTCCATGAAGGTGAGGATTTTTGTCTGTCTTATTCTCTTTTGTGTCCCCCACGCCTAGAACAGTGCCTGGCACATAATCGGTGCTCAGTGCATATCTACTGGATGAATTCAATGAATGCATTTCAAATGGGCTCCCCAGGAAACCCAGCAGTTCAGGTTCCTTGAGCGACCCTGGTACAGGGTAGGAGGATTGCAGAGGAGTCTTTAAACCTAAATCAGTGTGTCTAGATTTGCTTTTTAAAATATATCACTCTGGCACCATTTGTTAATTCAGCAACTCTGAGTGTCTCCCGGAGTTAGCAAGCCCCTGCTGAATACAAATCTTGTTCCTGACAGATCTTGTTCCTGCCCTGAAAGAACTCACTGATAGGTGAGGGGTCAAAATTGAAGAACTGAATACACAATTTGGGCATCATCCATAATCCTTTTCTTTAGTACCATCGCCCCCAATCTAGTGCATTAACTCATCCTTTGACTCTACCCTCCAAACACGTTCCTATCCTGCAACAATCACAACAAAACCCCTAACACCTTTACAATGCAGTTATAAATGCAAATGGGAAAATCTTAATTAAACTAGTAGGAAATAAGAAAAAGAAAACTCATGTTCCCAGTCTGACAACTTCTCACCTCTGCTGTCATAGCATAGTCCAGGTTGCCATCATCTCTTAATGAGACACTGTTATAGCTGTTTGCTGATCTCCCTGCTTTCACTCTTACCTCCCTTACAACAACATACTTACTTAGACATCACTCACTGTTTGCCAGGCTCTGTTCTAAGTGTTTACATATAATAATGAGAAGAACAATGACAACTGTACATAGTAGCCAGATGACTTTATAAAAATCAGTTTATGCCTGTGTTATGTAAGTCCCACCAGTGGCTGTCAGGCTGTTTCTCAAACAGGCCAATCCATTTCCGCCTCAAATCCCACCCCTGAGTCAGTCTTGCAGAAGCCACTTAACTGAGAATTGGGTGAGGAGCAGTTTCTCAAGGAGATTCAGGAGAGGGCATGGACGCCAGGTAGGAACAAGGTGAAACAAATCGAGGGAAGTGGCTCCCAGGGAATAACTTAAAAGCCTGCCCAACAGCCAAAGGAAACAGTTCTGTTTTAGGCCCCTTCAGGAACAAATGACAGTCATCTCTGATGGGGGAGGGGAATTGCATCTGGTTGGCAGTAACAAAGTCCTGAAATAATAGTAGCTTAAAGAAATTATGGGGTGTGTAGGAATCAGCATGGTTAAGTTATGTTGCAGTAACAAACTCACAAAATCTCAGTGGCTTACTATAACAAAGGTTTATTTCTTGTTCACCCTATGTCCTTTGCAGGTCATTTGTGGCCTTACTTTATACTTTCTTAATTGGGGATTCAGGCTAAAGGAGATGCCTTTACATGGAATATTGCTGGTGTTGTGGGAGGGGGAGAAGAAAAAGTGGAGAGAATCATCCAGTAGCTCCTGGCAAATTATACATTTAGAAGTGGCCCATTGTCACTTTTACTCCTTTGGTCAAAATAAGTATATGGCAAGCCTCGGATTAATGGAATGAAGATGTGTAATTTTCATGTGGGAAAGGGCAGCAAGTATTTTGAACAATGATACAGTCTACCACAGGATTTATCTTTCCATCATATAAAACAAGTATGGAGGTTGACAGACCAGCACCGGCGTGGAGGCTCCCACAGTCATCAGGGATGAGGGTCCTATCTTTCTGCTCTGTCATCCTTAGCCGGCCACTTCCATCCAAGATGGCTGTGTGTCACAGCCATCATACCCTACCATTCCTAGTAGGAAGAAAAGGGAAGGGAGGAAGAGCAAAAGGAATTCAACTCTAAAATGAGTCATCCCCTTTTACAAAGTCTTCCTAGAAATCCCACCCAATTTTGGGTTCTTTATCATTGGTCTGGGAAATGTAGTCATTTAGGGGGATCTTTAACCACCTGAAGAAATATTGAGTTATGTTATTAAGGAAGAAAAGAACTTCTAGCAGTTATAGGTAAGATGACCAACGAAACTAAAATATTCTATAAAAAAGGAGGACACTGGCTGACCACTTAAGGCGGATATTTAGAGAGGGCTATTGCCAATTATAAATGTTGCCGTCTAGAGGAACAAAAGAGAATAACAAGACCAAATTAGAAAGAAATGGGGTTTTTTTGTTGTTGATGTAGTTGTGTTTTTTGTTTTTTAATGATATTCATTTTCCTCCTTTGCCCCAGAGCTGCTCTGATTCCATTTGAGAACCACTTTGCATTTAAAGTGCCATCCCAGATGTTTCACATAACTTGAAAGTATTCATTGGCCAAGACTTAGTTATGTGGTCTCACCTAGCGGCAAAGGAACATGGGAAACAGTCTTTTAGCACGGCATATTATGGCCTCAATAAATTTGGAGTTTTGTTAGTATGGAAAAGGAGGAGAGTGGATATGGAGTAATTAGTTGGAAGTCTTGGCCCCAGAGGGGTTGAGAAGTGCTTCTGCAAGAGATTTCCTGTATGTGTACAGGCAAAATGGGGCTGGTGAGAGCATTTGGATTCCACACTGAGTCTAAAAGGACTGCAGCAGCCAGAGTTCCTGGCTGTGGGCCTTGGGGTTCTGGTCTACGGGTGCCATCAGGTGTCACAGCTCTTTTCTGAGTCAGCTCTTCTGTTCTCTTTCACCAGCTGCTCCCTCCTTTCTCTGTCTGCCTTTTGCCTGAGAAATCTTGCTCCCATCTCTGTCCATCTCGTCCACCTCCTCTCCACTGGTGGCCTCTTTATTTTTATTTTTTTATGTGTCCTTCCCTGTGTTTCTCTATCCAAATACAAGCAAATCTGAATATATGTGCTTATTTCCTTCTTTATTATTGTACTAGTTTCCTATGGCTTCTGTAACAAACTTGGTGGCTTTAAACAACAGGAATTATTCTCTCACAGTCTATATCAGTTTTACTGAGCCAAAATCAAAGTGCTGGCAGGGCTGCATTCCCTGGGAGGCTCTAGGGAAGAGTCTGTTCCTTGCTTCTTCCAGTTTCTGGTGTCCACAGGCATTCCTTGGCTCACTCCACCCTCTGCTTCCATGGTCGCATCACTTTCTATTCTTTTGTCGTAATTTCTTCTGCCTCCTTCTTTAAGGGAATGCATTTAAGGCCAACCTGGATGATGATCTAGGATCATTTCCCCATCTCAAGATCCTTAATCCTATTTTTTGTCACAAAACATAATATTCATAGGTTCTAGGGACATAGATATCTTTTGGAGACCATGATTCAGCCTACCACAATAACTAAAAGCTAGTATATTCTATTTGGAACCTTGTGTTTTTCACAGAGTATATGCCTAACAATAGCGTGTCAGTTCCCAGAGTGCTTCCACAGTCTATTTTAGAGCTGTTTAGTACTCTTTCGTGTACATGTGTCTGAGTTTATTTACCCTTTCTCCTATAGATGGTATTGTCCCCCCACTCTCTAATACTTCTACTCTTCCTTTTTAACAAAGAGAGCAGGCCTCATAGCCCTCAGCAAGTAAAGGTATCCCAGTGTTTTTATGGTTCACTTCTATTTATGGAATTGATACTGGTTTTCCATTTGCAATTTTGTATAAAATTTCTCTTTCAGATATCTTTAACACTTGAATTTGGTCAGTTTTAAGAAAAATATTAAGTCAAAGGTGGGATGTGGATGACTGACCGTAATAGTTATGCTGTGTAACAAACTATCCCAAAATTTAGCAGCTTAAAATAAATGTTTAATGTCTCTGTTTCTGGGAGCAGCCACAGGACAAACTGGCCAGAACTTAATCATGTGGCCACCTCTGACTGCAAATGAAGCTGAAGAATGAGGTTTTTATTGTGGATAGCCTTGAACCCAGGTCTAAATAGAAAATGTATTCCTTTATAGATGTTGGGGACAAGTGGCACCAAGGCGGTTAGGAGTGGTGGGGGCTCCCCTAGAGGCTACTTTATCAGATAATCCCTACCCACTCTCACTGGGAAAGCTTTTATTTCGTTCATTTTTTAAAAAAACTTTTTTCAGTTTTAATTTTTAATTGTGGTGAAATACACAGAAACAAAATCTACTGTCTTAACTAATTTTAACTGTACAGTTCTGTAGTATTAAGTATATTCATATTATTGTGCAGCCAATCTCCAGAACTTTTTTTATCTTGTAAAACAGAAACTCTATACTCACTGAACAACTCCTAGTTTCCCCTTCTCCCTGGTTCCTGGCAACCACCAATCTAGATTCTGTTTCCATGAATCCGAATACTCTAGATTCTTCATATAAGTGAAATCCTATAGTATTTCTTTTTTTGTGAGTACGACTGGCTAATTTCACTTACTATAATGTCCAAAGTTTCATCCATGTTATACATACAATTAAGAATAATACTTAATTGTATGTATATACCACATTTTGATAATTCATCCATATGTTAATGGACACTGGGTTTCGTCCACCTTTTGGCTATTGCAGATAATGCTGTTATGAACACGAGTCTGCAAATATCTCTTCAACACCCTGCTTTCATTTCTTTTGGGTCTGTATCCAGAAGTGGAATTGCTAGATCAGATGGTACTTCTGTTTTTTATTTTTTGAGGAACCGCTATACTGTTTTTATAGAGGCTGCTTCATTTTACATTTCCAAGCAGTGCACAGGATTCCACATCCTCGTCAACACTTGTTATTTTCTGTTTTTTATTTTATAGTAGCCATTCTAATGGTTATGAAGTGATATCTTGTGGTTTTGATTGGCATTTTCCTAATGATTAGTGACATTAAGCATCTTTTCATATGCTGATTGGCCATTTGTATATTTCCTTTGTCTATTCACGTTCTTTGCCCATTTTTAAAGGGGCTAATTGTTTTTGTTGTTGTCTAAAAACTTTAACAGGAGTTTTCAAACATACACAAACAATAGAGTTGTATAAATGAATCCTCATGTATCCATCACTCAGTTTTACCAGTTGTCAACATTTTGCCAGTCTTTTTCATCCACCTTTCTCCCTCATACACCTTTAATGCAGTATTTTAAAGTAAATTCTAGACTTTAGGTCTTATACCCATAAATATTTCAGAATGCTTTTCTAACAGGTGTCTATTTTTAAAGCATAAATAACAATTATCTCACCTAGCAAAGTTAATTTCTCTAATTATCTAACGTCTAATTCAAGTTCAGTTTTCCACAACTATGTTAAAATGTCTTTTTACAGAGTAGTTTGTTGCAAAACGGGGTTCGCATCCTGCATTTGGGTTGCTATTTCTTAAATCTCTTTTAATCTACAACCACCCTACTCCATTCCACCATGAATGTAGAATCTCCCACATTCTAGAGTTGTCCGATTTTATAAACTGCTCCCTCAGTTTCATGTGGAGAAACAGACTGTGGCAGGGAGTGGCAGTGGGCAGGGAGAGCAGGAAGGAGGCTGCTGCAAAAACCATCTCCAGAAAAGGATGGAGGCTGAATGGGATGAGCAGCAGAGGTGGGAGAGGCAGGTTGATGCTGGGTGTTTAAAAGGTGGAGCGGAAGAATGCAATATGGGTAGGAGGTAAAGAGAGTTTGAGTGGGATGCAGAGGTTTGGAGTCCAGGGAGCTCTGGGTGGGAGCGTTCTCAGGGAGTGGTGGGGTTGGACCTGATATGGCGACCCCCTCACCCGGCAGGTTCCCACTGAAGGTTGGACTCCAGCTGCAGGCCTGGCTGCGGCACATGGGCTGTGAGCACTGGGTGCCCAGTTGCCACCAGCACCTGTGCAGTGAGCACTTTACACCCTCCTGCTTCCAGTGCCGCTGCGGTGTACGCTACCTGCGACTGGATGCAGTGCCCTCCATCTTTTCTGGGGCACCAACAATCAAGGTAAGCACTGGGAGGTCTCGCTGCTGGAGGCTGACCATGTCCCCCGACCCCACCCCCCACCCCCCACTTTCCCCACCTAGGAAATTATCTGTGGAGTCTGATCCCTAGCCCTCATCTCCTGAGGGAAGTCCCTCCTAGAGACTGACCCTTAGTCATCCCCTTCGGAGGGAAGTTCTCTCCTAAAGTCTAGCCTTACCTGAGGGAAGTCCCCCTTGGAGTCTGGCCTTCCCCCAAGTCTTCCCTCCTGAAGAAATCCCCTTGGAGTCCGCCCTCCACCCCATGCCTTGTCTTCCAGAAGCAACGGAGTCCTTGAAGCTACACAAAAAGCCTCTGCCTCCGCAGGAGGCCTCGTCCCTGTCTCTGGGCCCAGCTGTCAAGGCACCTGGCCCTATGCACCCGGTGATGCTGGGACCAGCATCCGGAGACCTGGAGGCCACGGCCGCCAAGTTCCTGTTCCCCTTGATTATTTCGCAGGCTCCTGCAGGGCCACGCCCTGGAGTCCCCGCCAAGCACCCCCAGGCTGGACTAGGCTCGGCCCTGGGAGTGCTCCAGTCCAGCAGCAGGCGCAGAGGCTGCAGCAGTGCCAGGAACGGCAGCGGGTGCAGCTTCGGGCTCTAGAAGAGCTGGCACAGCAGCTGTGCAGGGAGAGCCTGGTGGCGCAGGCCTGCGGGGGCCTGCTGCACAGGGTGAGTGCTGCCTGTCCGGCCCACACAGCATGTGTGTTTTCATTTAAGCTACAGCATAATATTTAAAAATCAGAACATTTGACCCATTTTCAAATTTCTGGCTTTTCTTGGAAAAAAAAAAAAATCAATCTGGCAATGCCAAGCAACTATTGGGTCAGATGAGTAGCTGTTTCATTTATTAATATTTAAGGAGCCCTTACTCTCTGCCAGACAGTTAATAACTTAACTGAAAACTCACTATGATTTTGATACTTGTCCCCATTTTCCAGATGAAAAAACTGAGGCACAGAATGATATGGTAACTTGCCAAAAGTCAGGCAGCCAGTAACTACCCAGAGCCAGGATTCAAACCACATTCTGGCCCTAGAGGAGGTCCGCCTGTGCCCTTCTCTTGGAGAGTCCCTGGCCCCTATAGAGCTTGAATTTGCAACCCTTCTACTCGAGTCCCCCATACCCTATCTAATCCCTTTTGCCACTCTATTTTACTGCTGAGTATTTTGAGAGTGGGGAGGGGTTCATGTCTTTAAAATTCAAAGTTTGACCAGGCTTTTTCTCTGCTTAAAACCCCAAGGCCAAGCTTGAGGTCCCAGGGCTCTGGCCTTTCCTGGTTTCAGAAAGAGGCCCCACAGTACCTCTGAGCTAGGGTGTCTCAACCTGACAGCCAAGGAGTTGGACATGGCCCACAGATATTGTCTGTATGACTTCAACAATGCGTAAAATAATTTCTGGTCTTTTCTGAAGGCTCAGCAGATCTAGCAGCACTGGGTTCATATTCCCAGTTAGTAGAAGTCAGCTGGAGCCGCAATGTGGCTGCCCCTGGAGGCTTTATACTGGATACCATGGCCCTGAATCATGCTGGGGTACTAGAGGGACATACAGTGGGGCAAGGACAAAGCTCAGGCTCAGGCCTGGGGCTCTTCATGAAGCCTGACAGGGCCCCTGGACTTAGCGCTTTTCTCTGCCTCCCCTTTCCAACTTGATCTCTGTGTCTTGATCTCCTTTTTCCTCCACATTCATCTTTGTCTTTCTATCCCCAATCTCTTCTCTCATTTATCTCTCCCTTTCCCCATGTCTCTTCATCTGAATCTTTCTGTGTCCCCCATATGTATGTCCTGTCTCTCTTACCCTACATTTCTCCTGTCCCCTGCATCTCTCTCCGTTTCCCTATACCTCTTTGCTCCCCCACGAATGCTACTCTGGCTCTCATATCTGTTTCCCTGTTTCCTCATCTCTCTCTACCCACATGTCTCTGTTTCCTGATACCTCCCTCCCACCTTGGCCTCCCTGTTCCTCATCATTCTCCCCTTCTTCCCTCCCCCCATGGCCCTGTCTTATCCATCTCTACCACTTATTTGCCTGGGACTACCCAGCTCTTTGGACCTGAGGAATCCCAAGTCTTCACGTGACATCATCTTTGGAGAACCTGACATAGTTGTGGTCCTTGCCCAAGGTCCTGCACCTCCCAAACTGGATGCCAAGCCTGAGCTCCTGGATACTCAGATCACCAGTGCATAAGGACCAGGACAGATAATGTCACCGGACAGATGACAGAAGACAGGAAGAGACTGATCACATAAGGGCTTGGCCCAATTCCACCACCCACCCTGTGGCATAGCAGTGCCTCCTTCAAGGGCCTGGTTCCCATCACCCCTTTCCAGGGACCCCACCCTAAGTTTCAAAAACTTAGGGCCAAGATGGGCCCAAGACTCCCATCAGTCCTGATTCCCTTGGGTACAAGGTGCCTGTCATCCTCAGCTCAAATCTTTGCAGTCAGTAAAACAGCCTCAGAGCAGAGCAAGCGTTGTTTGCAGACAGTTGTACCTGCTTCTGAAGAGCCCCTCAAACCCCTTGCCAAGGCTGGTGCTGAGTTCAGAATACATACAGCAAGTAAACACAGCAGACAAAATCCTGCCCTCATGGTGCTCATATTCTGCTTGAGTAGAAGACGTACTAGTAACCTAATAAACAAGATAATTTCAGATTCCAATAAGTGCTATAAAGACTGAATGAAATTGTAATGAAGCAGGGGTAGTGGTGGCGATGAAGAGGAATTTCTAAGGAGACAACGTTTGAGCAGAGACCTGGATGATGAGAAGGAGCCGGGCTGGAAGGCATGTGGGCTGGATGTTCCAGGGAGAACAGCCCCTGCAAATGTCCAACATCTAGGATGTCAGCTGGAGGAGGGCAGTATTGCTATGGTGAAAACTGAAGCAGGGAGGAAAGTGTATGGGTGTGGTGGGGTGTGTGCAATTTTAGAGCAGAGGAGGTCTCACTGAAAAGGCACCAATAAGTAAAAACCTAAAAGGAGAAATAGGAAACCTGGTGGCTGGGGGAGGAGCATTTCAGGCAGAGAAGGAAAAGGCTATGCAACGGTCCTGGGGTGAGGAAGAGCAAGGATTCCAGTGTGGTTTGAGTAGATTGAATGAGGGGGGAGTGAGAGGTGATATTGGAGAGATACATGGGAAACTTCACATGGGGCTTGTGGTTGAGAACACTGGCTTGTACCTCGAGTAAGGTGCAGCAAGCAGATGCTAAGACCCTCTGGCTGCATATAGGGGGAAGGGAGGAGCAGGGAGAACAAGAAAGAGGCTGCTGCCACAGTCCAGGTGGGAGAGGATGAAGGATAGACCAGGATGAGGGCCTGGGGTGGGTGGTGAGGGATAAAATTCTGGAAATATTTTGGAGATGGAGCTATTGACCCTGCCCAATAGAAGGATGAGGGGGGAGAGGGGGTTGAAGACAGTCACCCAACCCTATTCAGGCTGGGGTTATTGTGGGCAGTGCAGGCCACAGCCAGGCAAGTGTGAAAACCAAGCCAGATTGAT